GTGATTTCAGATCAGGTTTTGGACTGGGTTAAAGTGCTGCATCGGTCATGGTGGATTTGAATCTAGCCTTGAGTGTAAAACTGTGATACACTGCCTCTGTTTTCATGAATATGCGCAAGATATTATTTATGGAAAGCTTCGGGATTCTAGAAGCGGATCCAATTGATCACTAATTAAGTCAGACAAGCCTTTGCTCTGTTGTTGTTCTGGTTTTTAAGAAATTGGCATCATGGGAATTGGGCTATATTTTTTTCAGAATTGCACACTGCCCTTTTGAAATTTTTTCATTATTTTTTCTAAGCATTTCTGTGGCTTATAAAACTCAGTGGGCTGTCTCTTGTGTTATTTTGAGTTGCTTTTACTAGTTTGTTGAAAACAGCATTTGAGAATTTTGCATGCCCTAAGAAGAGCTGGTTGGTAATCAATACTAAGTGAAGTAAATAAATGTACACATAAATATCAACATGATTTTTTGAAGGTCTAGTTGTTGGAACTTTAATGAGAGTCAAATGAAATGAGAATTCACAGGGTTCAGATTAGCTATGAATGCTTATTCAAAACACATTCATCTCCTTCTCAGGATGAAATGTAAGAAATTAGCTGAGTGCTAAAATTTTCATCTCACTCCATCTTCAGGTCAAACTTTGACACTTTCAGTACTTTGGTTTATGGTTGATTAATCGGCCGATTAATCGGAAGATTATTCGGCATTTTGAGATAATCGGCATCGACTGATGTCTGTGCTCACAAAGCTGATAAATAAAACGTGACACATTTGCAGGCAGCCTTGTCAGTGTGGCTGTCACAGAACAATGTTAGTGCTCTTGTGAATTTTGAGTGGAGCAAAAGTTAGTTACAAATGCTGTACTATAATTTTCAAGCATCCTGCTGTTAACATATGCCTGAATTTCCAATAGAATAAAATAGAATTGTACATTGATTTTCTTGGTTTGATATCAGCGATATATATAATATATACCTCTTTTGATGACACATCTTTGATTACAATGGTTTTGCTCAAAACTGGTGGAAACACGGTCTGGTTCGCTAAATAGCACCAAGAATCTTTAACGGAACTGATTAAAAAATCTGAGCTAATTTGTTGGAAACACATTGATGGAGCTGCTAGCATGACTGTTGTCTAGACCCCTCCACTCCAGTAATCATCCATCCTTAATTTAGTAGGATTTAGTAGGATTAGTAGGATATTTATGTAGGATAGTGAGTTGTGCTCAAGAGTGCTAAAATCAGAACATCACAGACTCTGTTGCATCAAACAGTCAACTCACCAATGTGGTTATTTTCAGTTTTATGTGAGGATAGAATCTGCCTGTGTGTCTCTGTCAGCCCTGTCACCTCTATCACTGCTTCATTAGTCTGATTTTGCAGAGAGTGAAGTGTTGATAATTCAACATGAGAAAGACATCTTTTTGTCAAGTCTGCTTTTAATGAACCGGTGCAAAGCTCCTGCCAGGTCACAGTCTGGAGTGCAAGAAAAGTTCTCTGTGACACCACTTTCTGTGTTTAAATCTCAAGGAGGATCAGTTTTCTTTTTATCACTTTGCTTTGTAGCAGGAAGCCTTCCATTCCGCATTTAATAGAAGTTCAACACTGTACAATAAATTCACCTTCAAACCAAAGCAGACAAGAAAAAGCTTTGGACACGGTTGAAGTGTGGAGGCCAGAGGCAGTGATCACATCATATGTGACCAGATATGGATTTTCATTTCAATGCCGGTGGTAAACGGGGTGAAACTGCAGCTATGCCACTGACTAACCTTACATCAATACAGCAGAGGCCCTTTCTGTGCCCCAGAATTGTTGGAAAATTGAATGCTGAATAGAAGTGTTTCTTACTGCATAGAATCCGATGAAAGAGTACGGCTGCCTCCAATCCAAATTTGCAAGACCCTTTGATGTTTGTTGGAATAATTTTATGCCTACTTCTCATTTTTCCATTTTATGCTTTGCTTTTGAATTTTGATTGCGACTACAGGCACTTTTCAATTGATATGCATTATGAACTCTGTAATAATTCAAAGGCCTTTGTTGAGGAATAAACATGTCATTTGTCCTAAAAATGAATTTTACAACTTATTGTGTAACTGTGCACCTTTGGTGAGTTTAGAGAGAGCAGTTGCCAGGCGGTTATTGTCTCCTTTTTTTGGAAGAGATTGGTACTTTAAGTCTCATGAAGTGTTTTTGTGTGTGTTTAATTTCATTGTTGAAATAAAATGTCTTGTTTGTTGGTGTTTTTGCATTGTTCGTGTACATACATTCAGGCTTCAGCAGCCATAGTATAATATGTGTTTCTGCACATATTATGTGTGTGTGTGTGTGTGTGTGTGTGTGTGTGTGTGTGTGTGTGTGTGTGTATATTTATGGATGCACGATTGCCTGCTCAAATTTGGCGTTTGGTGGCTCGTTCCTTCGAGGGATGGCGAAACTTGAGAGGCCGCCTAAAATACTGTGCAGTAATTGGAATTGCTTTATCTTCGGTCTCATCAATTAATGTGCAATTTTCCATTTAATCACTAACACGCTCGCTGCATTTGCAATTAAAATGAGGGCTGATAACAGAGAAGATGCCTTTCAGCTGATACCAGTTGGAATGAGAACAGAAACCAGAAGACGCAATCAGTACACAAAATGACTCCCAGAGACATGCACATGGCTCACAAACAAGTGTGAACACACGCAGTGCAAACAGTCATGCTCATATAAGACTGCACTGAACACACACACACTCATGCACACACAAGCGCAGTATGATATGATAGAACATGCAGATTTGCAGCTAAAACCTCAAATTAGAGCTTGTCAATGGAACTAAACCAGCATTTAACGTCAAAATGTTGGCAGCGTTGGCGGATTCGGATGCCACTCAAATCGAAGAGGGTCCCAGCCAGTTGTCTTGTCTTTTCCATTCTGAGACATTGCCAGGGACTGGGTCTCAGTGGGGGATGAGCTCACTGGTGGGGAAAGTCTGTCATGCATTGTCCTGATTCTGAAGAGAGGGATCACTTCCCGTCTGGCTGCAGGAACTTGAAAACGTATAAAGTGCAGGGCTCGACACAGAGATGTGTAAGACTATAGTAGTACAGCAGGGGGTTTATAGTGCTGCTATAGGCCTATAGTGTAATACTGCTGCAATAGTGTTCATTTATAGTTTTAGTAGAGTTATATATATGTATATATATATATATGTATATATATTTATATATATGTATATATATATATGTATATATATTTATATATATGTATATATATATATGTATATATATTTATATATATGTATATATATGTATATATATATATATATATATGTATATATATGTATGTATGTATATATATATATATATATGTATATATATGTATGTATGTATATATATATATATATATGTGTATATATATATATATATATATATATATATGTATATATATATATATATATATATATGTATATATATATATATATATGTATATGTTCATTTAGCATGATATCAATGTATGATATTTCTTTTATAGTAAGATCCTTAGATGGCATTCTTGTAAAGATTATTTGACTATTAAATTTTCACCAGGCCATGACCTCTCAACTCACTCTGAGTCACATCCTACAAATCCTCAGCTTTGGTGGCTCAGGTGGATTTATTGCACATTTTTATTTCCTGAGGCGTTTCGCTCTGAATGGATGTTGCAACCACTGCAGAGATTTTGCTCAGATGTTCCAGTTCCATTTCACCAGCTTATAATCAAGCGTTTTCCTCCAGGTCAATACCATTCAGCCCAAGTGTGCCAGCCCACTGTAATTGCTGCTTGCCTTTCATGACCACACAAGGCTGTATGTGGCATTAGAAGGCTTTTTTCCAATAAGTCCGGTGGCTCAAGGTATCCTGTAAACAGTTGATCTTTGAAGAACTGTTGATTTGATGGTCCGCATCAGTGTTTAAAGCACCGCAGTGAACTTTTATGTTTTATAATGGTTCAAAGCAGCTCAGTTTGATAAAACCGTTTCATTAAGTTTACCCTCACATTTATCAAAACACCCTTTTCCCCCCTCAGGTCAAATAGTTAATTTAGAGGACATTTTCATGCAGCGTATACACATAGGTTATATGTAGCTTCAGGATGGAGCACCTGCTGTGCTTGCCTATAGTAAGTTGGGGTGATGGTAGGGGGTCTGTGTGTGTGTGTGTGTGTGTGTGTGTGTGTGTGTGTGTGTGTGTGTGTGTGTGTGTGTGTGTGTGTGTGTGTGTGTGTGTGTGTGTGTGTGTGTGTGTGTGTGTGTGTGTGTGTGTGTGTGTGTGTGTGTGTGTGTGTGTGTAATGGAACCCTGAACCAATTAGCTCCTTCAGTGGGGGTGGGGGTGACGGTTACAGCGGTGTTCCACAGGGTACAGCCCTCAGCCCTGTGGGGTCCCGGCCAATAGCAATTAGCCCACCAACAAGAGCCCTAATTAGCCCTCTTGATTGGCTTGGTAACAGCGCAACAACAACAACCAGCAGCCAACACATAGAGACGACCAAGGTGACTCCACCGCGATGCGTTGCTTTAAAGCCAGCTGTACTGTAATTAGTAAACAAGCATAGCTGTCTGTAATTGGTAAACAAGTAGTCGGGTTTGTTTGCGGTGTCATTATGAACCTGCTGGTATGTTAAGTATTTTTGTAAAGCCTTCCATGATTGAGTCTGTGTTGCTTTTGGTTCCTTTCTGCTTGGTAGCATTGTTAGATCACTCAGTATTAATACATAATGCCGGCTGTTCAGTCAGCTCTGTGCAATGGGACTGACGGCAGACAGAGCAAAGAAATAAATAAATCAGTAAACGGAGACAGGGAAAAAGAAGTGTGAAAGGGAAGAGTGAGCTGCTGTGTGAGAATCTCATCTCCTATTATTTAATCATAGCAGCACCTGGTGGCTGTAATAGAATTTACAATCACTGCTCACACTGGATTTATGTTTCTCTCTTTGTTTTCATTTCTGTGTCTTTTCCCCCAGTCTCAATGTGAAGCTATCCCATGATGCAACATGTGTCCCCAGCACCTGCAGTGACAATGATGGCCACCCAGAGCGTTCCTCCACCATCGTACCAGGAGAGCCAACAGGTCAGAGGTTTCATCAGAATTCCTTCACAAATACATTATATTATGTCAAAGTTCGATAGTTTGGATTCTTTGGATACATTTTTGTCAGTTTGGAAAGAGTTTCTGTGCACCAATCAGAATTATTATTATTATCATTATCTGCTGACAGCTGATTAGTTTAAGGTGAATAAATGATTTACAGTGCTTTTGCCTTGTAACTTTAATTCAAATTGCTGCTTATTTACTCATGATTATTTAAATGCTATGGCAGTACTTCAAGTTGTAAAACAAAGTTTTCAAATTACTTTTTGTTGTGCAAGAAACCATTAAGTTAATGACTTCAGTTCAACTAGTAATCTCATGATAATTAGTATCAAGCAAATAATATATTTTATGGGAGATATAAAATTGCATGTACAGTGAACGGTAAGACTCTATGGTGCTATTAAAATAATACTACAGTGATAGCAAAACTGTTACAGTTAACCCATAGGGTTTTGTTGACAATTTTCTTTCTTTAAATATCTTTTTGCTTATCTTCTGAGCTAAAACTCAATTTGTAGAAATGTATGGACGTAACACACAAACTGAGCTGGCACATTTGATGAAAGTGACAACACATAGAAATGGGCATGGCATTATTATCACACAAACAGGAAATATTTTATGTTTAATAGGTTATATAGCCTATTTATTAACTACTTTATCTTTTTTTTTTTTTGCCAAAAATTAATTCACTGACAGAAAAATACAACATATAGTATGTCATCTTACATAATGATGTCACTAATGTTTGGGCTCACTCTAGAGAGGTCTCACTCAGTGTTGAAGCTCTTATGGACAAACTCTTATGTTACAAAACTTATATAAAAACAACAGACACTACTGTTAATCCATCCCTTCCTCCTAGAAATTATATTTGTGTATCATTAAAGTGAATTCAAGTTTTCATAATTATGTTTTGGTGACAATGGATTATGTTCAGTTTTTTGAAGCACTATATTTATGTGTGTGGATAGGAGGTGGTTAGGGTGGATGGTGGGCATACAGATTGTCACACCACAGTCTGGGGTTTGCATCTGCAACCAAAGCAGTAAAAGTTGGGGAAAAATTGGGATTTCTGTTCACTTGTTAATAAAAATTGTTACGTCACTGCTGACTTTTGAATAATGCTACAGTCACTACAACTTTATCGTGTGCAAGAAGGGCTATTTTGGCATCCTTATTGTGTTCATAGTAAACATAATGCAGTCTGTACATTTCTCTGAAAACGTATTTGCTGTTGCAAATTAGTTATAAATATAATTTCTAGGAGACAGTGGTGTTAACCGCAGAGACAGAGCATATGTAACATCCATATATATATAACCATGTTTTACAGCTGGACTCTCTGAGACCCCAAACAGAAGTAATGAGTCATCAGTTCAAAATCATGTTTATAAGCAATTCCCATAAAACTAAAGTTACAAAGAGCCAAAGGGATAAAACTATATTAAATATATGGACCCCCAGGACTCCAAACATTAGGGTTAAGTTACAATGCTGTCACTATAGAGAACATTAAAGGTTCAGTTTGTAGGATTTAGTGGCATCTAGTTGCAAATAGCTACTCCCCCACCCTCCTCTTCCTAGCACAAAGGAAAAACAGTGGTGGCCGAGAAACGCGCAATAAAACGCCAACGCCCCTATCTAGAGCCAGTGTTTGGTTTTTCCATTCTGGGCTACTGTAGAAACCTGGCAATTCAACATGGCGGACTCCATGTAAAGGCATCTGTAGATAAAAAAAGTCTCATCATAAGGTTATGAAATCACAACGATTCTTATATTCAGGTGATTATAGACTAATGAAAACATACCATTTCTGACAATAGATCCTCATGTTACACACTGAACCTTTAAAGTAAAAGTGACTGCAGGGATATGGGTTAAAGATCCTGAAAGGTCACTATAAACAGTATGTGACCGCTACAAATACAATACAAGTATGTATGTATTATAGCAATAATACAAGAATGATATAGTGATACAGTAAGAGCATCAAACATAATGTAAGTCTCTATAGGAATTAATTAAAATGATGATCATGAGGTTGAATTGCATTTTATAATTAAAACATGAGTATAAGATACATCCTGCATGTCAAAGTGTAGAATAAGACGTCAAGCCCCAGCCTGCGGTGTTCAACACAACACCAACAGGTCAGCGTAATTAACGCAGCCCAACTGTGGCTGGACTCCAGCTTTGTCTAACACTGCGGACCATCCCGTGGAGGTGGAGGTGGAGCAGGTTCACCCGAGTGCCTAACCCTCCTCCTTGTCCACACCACCTCTGTCTGCTTTCGCCCGGAGGATTAGTGCCAGGGGAGAGCTCCCGAGCTGCAGTCTGCGCGCTCGGCAAATGCAAATGAGAGCTAGTTAAGTGTGAAGAAGCTAATTTATTTCCCATTTGGTGCTGGGATTAAGACTTGAAGCTTCCTCCCATCCCAACCCGACTCAAGAAAAAGTGGGAGGGGGGGTGGGGGGTTGTTAGACTCATTTCCTCAGAGAGAAGGCATGAGAGAGGAAAGTGGGGTAAAGGATAAAGGAGACAACGGATTGTGTTTGCAAAGCATGTCACTCTCCTGCCCAGCCTACAGCACAAATAACATCAAAAAAGGTTAAAAGATTCTCTAATGATTCCCTGTTGAACCAGCATCAGTGCTGTGGTGGTTCACAGCAAAGGAATATGTATGCTTCAGCAGTATGGCAAGTTGTGAACACGCTGTTTAGCTGCTAAATTGAATATTTATCATTTAACAGGAATCTATATATGACCTGAGCATGGCTTGTTCAATTACTGAATCTATCCTATCTTATTCATTTTTGCTTAACAGCTTCATTACAGGGCTGCTGACCTGTCAAGCAACAATGATTAATTCCAGCTACATACTCATTTGTAGTCTGTCGCTGTCAGATGTGTGTTGCACCTTACTGCTTTTGAAAAGTGATTAAAAAATTACTTAAATCTCACAAGCAGCTGAGTGTTCATGACAAGAAATAGAAGTAATTAATTGATAAACCTGTTATTTTGGTCATGTGATATTCAAATGGGGAAGTTTGGGGAGCAGGTTTACAGTAAGTGACACAAACGTCAGCAAAAGCAAGCCCATGCTAAAGCTAATTAAAAGCAAATTATTGGTTGGTTGGGTCTTTTCGGTAAATTTATTTTACATAATTGTAACTTACATAAATACATTAAAACACTTTTTTTTTAATTGATTCTTTTTTTTTTTTTGTTTCATCTTTATTTTCCTGTTCTGATTTGTTCAAACCTGAAACTTGTTTTCAGTGATGCTAGTGGTAAAGCTCTATCAGTCGATCTGTCCATTGGTCCACCATTTTGGTCCAGACTGAAATATCAAATATCAAACAACTATTAGACAGATTGGTATGGACTTTGGTACAGACATTCATGGTGCCCTGACTAATGTGCTTTATGATCAAACACCTGCAAAACTAATGGCATTCCCATAAGCCTCAGCTCTACTATGTATCTTTTAGCAACGGGGGAACATGGTAAACATTACACCTGCTAAACATTAACATGCTAGCATTGTCAGTGTTGGCATGATAGCATGCTGATATAAGCATTTAGCTCAAAGTGACACAGTGCAGTCCAGGAAGAGCACCAGGCTTGAAGCCAGTTTGACAAAGTGGCCCACAGTGGCCCGAGAACACTTTTTCCCATAAGCTTACATTTTGAAAGAAGCAGCTTTAAAAATTATGGATACACTTTTTTGAGCATTACACAAAATGATTTCACTATCAGAATTTGTTCTATTTGGTTAGAATTGCTGCACAATTAAAATAATTTTATTCCCATTCAGGTTAGCAGAGCGCAAAATCAAAAGTTAGCAGCTCGGCCAGTGGAAGATCCGGTTCATTTTATCCCCCGAAGTCGAACATTTTTGGCTTTGTGCATTACTGAGCATCCTTCATAGGAATTAATGGAACCCTGCCACCAACTGTGTATCCAGCTCCCCTTAATACATTCATGATATACTGTAGCTTCCCAGAACTCCTAGCATGGCTGTAGACTCTTATTCTTGTTTATTTCTAGCTGGGAACCAAAGAATCCATTTCAATCTCCCATGCTGCAACTCTAAAGATTAAGAACCAACTGGAAAGCCACTTGAACAGTAACAGGATTTTAAATTTAAAGTAACTGTGTGATTGTTTTATGTGTCTCCAGATGACGGGCACCACTCAGCAGAACACCAAGACCCCACAGGTCCATATCCCAGCAGCCTCTGCAGCAGGAAATACCTCTGTCAGTGTGACCCTTGACCCCCAGGCCCAGCTTGAGTCCGACAAGAGGGCTGTTTACAGGTTAGTTCAATTTCACATTGTGTCATTAGAGGGTCTGTACGTCTCTATCTTGGAACTGTGCACAAATCTGAACATAGAGCAGTCACCATAGCAGTGAGATAGCAGACACTTTGCCCTTTGCAAACAAATTGTCAGACTAGTTTTGGCAATGTGCACCATTCTGCCCCTAAATTCCCCTTCACGTCTTCTTCTTCCTTTTAAATAATTGTTGCATTTCCCATGCTGGCTTTAAGCTTTTAAACTGTACGAAATTGACTTGGATGTGCTGCTTGCCGATGAAGGCTACACATGCTAGTGTTGTTTTTAATATGTTCTCTTAAAATTGCCATGACATAAAAACCTTTGAAAATTGTACATGAAGGGTGCCTCCTTCAGTTTTCACTTAGTGTCCTTCACAAACCAAAGAGCACCTTCAGTAAAATGCTTTCACTCATCAAAGGCAAGCAGAAGCACCCTCAATTTTCTTCACTTTGAATTTAATAAATTGACTTTAAAGTAAGCATTTGATACACTGGCAATAGTCAGGCTGTTCCCCTGACTACTGTACAGTGAATACTGAGATAGGACTCTAGCTTCTTATTATTAATGTTAGGGTGAGGCAGTGAATTAATGCATAAATGAATGAATGCTTTGGAATGCTTACCAGTCATTGTATTGGGATATAAATACCCAAGAGGGCCAAAGGAAACCAAAAAACACATATTTAAACCAAAACTGTTCATCAGCCAAACAGAGTTGTTTTGTGTGAGGTTCCAGACTGAAATTGTAAAACATAATTTATTTCTCTTTCACGCCAACAGTCATTTTCAAAGGTAAGCATCACTCTTCAAGTGGTAGAGACCTCATTTTGGAATTAGTTTGCTACACTTCTTGCAGAGGGGGACACTGCACTTTTGCAGAGAGATTTTAATGTGTGTCATAATGAATACATCTAATCCATCCCTGTTTATTGACGACAGTGTGGAATTTTTGAAATGATTCTTTTTCATTGACAAAAGTATTAGTGCAGTTTCTTTAGGTAGACGTAAGACGTAATATAAATAGTCTGCTTGAAACAATAATGTGTGTTAATTTCCACATTAAAATCCATAAAAAGTCATCTCCTCCTTCTACCTCATTAAAACTTCCAGAATCTCTGAATATTCAAATGTTCATTTCTAAAGTTTTGCTGCTGGACACAAGATGTCTCCTACTTCACTGTAAAGTCCATTCTCAGTGGATGTGCACTGGTGGCTTCAAGTTTCTACATCACACTGTACAAGTTGATACTGGACCAGGATGGACTTCCTAACTACTGGTGATGTCACAAATCATGCTGGTAGGCAGAGCCTACCACCATACACATATCATGCATCATTCAAATATCACACTGTAGAAACAAGAAGCACAACTGATTTTTGATTGAAGGGGAGGCTTTAAGATGCTTAAGCAGTGTGAAATGTTTCCTGACAATTTTCACACTGAAATGTATATAGGCTTATATTTTAGGATGTTTACAGATCACCCTACAGACATTTGTTCTGAATCGTATTATTTTATTTACCACTGAGAAACCCTGGAAGGCACCACCTTGTTAGGTGTAGAAAATAAGAAAGAAAATCACTGCTGGGTGAAACCCAAAACCCCAATAGAAAAAAAAAAACTTACTCCTCTCTCAGCTTATCACTAGAATATTGATGCACCCTTATAATGAGCTTGTATTATCTATTTATGAAGTAAATTATTCAAAATACAGACATTTTTAATCAAGCTGGGTGTTCTCCTGGTGTAGGCAGCAAACCAACAACTTACTAGATTTGTTGAGTGGAATGAGACCCTTGTCTGGCTCAGCCCGTCCTGTAACGATGACACTGCAGACTGTGTTGGGCCGTCTGTCCGGGCTCCTCAGGTCCCACCCGCGGGTATCCACTGTTGCTGTCTGAGGAGGTGCGAGCCCCCGCGCTCAGGCCTGAGGCGAGCTGCAGTAAAGTCCTCAGCAGCTCCTCTGAGAGACGAGGCTGCCTTTGATGTGAGCAGCCATGTTTGGAGCAGCTCCGGATGGTGGTGGTGGTGGTGTAGCAGGGGGTGGGTAGTTTTAGTCCAAATCAGCCCCTCTTCCACTTCCATGTGGGGTTTTTTGGGTCTTCACTTTCCTCCTCTTCCTTTCCTAAACTGCATACACAGTTAGACAAGAACAGAGGAGTATAGCAGCAAAAGACAAGAATGATTGTCGCAATGACTTTATTATTCAGGCTCAGCTCTTGTTTCCTTCTATAGAGAATACATTCATGTTAATAATGCTCATTTACTTGATCACCTGCTTGATTGGAGTGCCTGTATAAGAGCTGGGATCTGTCTTGGCTGTGTGAATTAATGTAAAACAGTTTTAAACATGCAGGGTAGAAGAGAACCTACAGCTGTGTGAATTGTTTGCGTGGTGTACGGTGGTAAACGCGCCGGAAAGTATGAGCTGCAACAAACAAGGCTTAATGTAAAATGTGTACTACTTCTACGTGTTACATTCAACTATAACACAATTTAATTATTTGACAAGCTATAAGATTTTGCATGGACAGACTAATTCAAATAGACTAGTGTTCAATTGACTCTTTTGGAACCTCGGTCAGTCTTTCCCGTAGTTAGATATGCTATGTGCTAGGCTCGTTGAAAAGACTTTTGAAGCTGTTTAAAAGATAAAAGTGACATACATATTGTCACATCTTAGGTTAGCTAATGTTAGCAAAACAGTTCGTAACTAGCTAGCTAATCTACATCAATCGTTAGTTAGTTTATTAGCTAGGGTTTTGCTAAAATTTGTTTTCAGATGTAACTAGCTAGCTAATGATTAATGTAGATTAGCTAACTAGTTAGAAAGTGTTTTGCACAACAGCAAAACACTAGCTAAGTAGATAACTAGCCAGATGAGTCTACGATTGACGTAGATTAGTTAGCTTGTGTTATGCTAGCATTAGCTAACTTAAGATTTGACTATATATAATGTTATATGTCGCTTTTATCTTTTAACCATCTTGTCACAGACAACATAGACAAACCTGGCATAGCATACATAGTACAAGAAAGGAGAAAGTAGATCAAAATATTGATGAATGTGATTGTTTGTCATTAAATCAGCATATATTTCTGCCACACCTTAAAGTCTCCATGCCACCCTCTGGACACCCCATGAATATTTCTCTAGATCCACCTACCAAAGAGAGTACATAACACAGTTATTGTTGGCCTTATCTCTTTTAAAGTCTGTAAGATTATTCATTGTTTAAAGTAGTGCTCCAACAATTAAGTAGCACTTCCATAACCCCTTATAAAGGTATCAGTGATATAATTTTACAGGCAAATATAGCTGTATATTATCTGTCTGTATGGGACCCAACAATGGTGCAAAAGATGAGACGAGAATGAAAGTAAGAGGGCTTGAGTTACTGAGCAGTTAAATGGTGCTATGGAGAATATAGAGCCAGCTGCGTCTGTAAATGTGTATGATGGCCAATTAAAATGTTGTGATCAACAGTGTCAGAGGCGGCACTGAGCTCGGGGAGCAACAAGAGCTGAGGATTCACCAGCATGTGCTGTCAAAATATGATTATTTGTAGCTCTTATGTGCAATCCTAGCTGTTCTGTATTCAGAGGAGGCCGAGCAGATTAGAATTTGGGTTTTTTTTTTTTTATGCCCATGCAAGGAGCTAATGACTAAATGCACCTTGTTACCTTGTTATAAATGCAATTAAATTTGACTTCACAAGTCATGTCTCCCACAGTGAGTCAAATTATGCAAAAAGACACAAATAGCACTCCTATTTTAATAGAAGTCTGCCTCTACACAGTGCTCATATGGGGGCTGTAGACTTTGAAAAGAGGAAAGCACGGAGAATCAACATATCTGCTATTTTACTTTAATTATTTTGTTCAGGAAGTCTGTGTGGGCTTTAATGTTTCTTTTCACTAATTGCTAGAATGCCAACTTTATGAGGAGATGTGTGGTTTCCCCTCTCCCTCTCTCTGTCTCTCTGCCTACTTTGTTATTAGCAGCGGAGTAAATGTGTGATAGGGTAATTAGCCTAATGAGTTGTGGCATTTACTATAAAGATCCTTCTGGATTCTCTGCATCTTATTAAAAAGCCAGTAAGGCTTTTGTTTCTCAGATTTGCGGATGTAGTGTTCGAGGCCGATTCGGCTCAGAGATGGAAACATGCACTTAATTGAAAGAGACATCATAATAGTACTTATTTAAAAAGAAACACAGAAATGTCCTTATGCTGCTTAGAAGCAACTCGGGTAGAGGAGCTGTGTTTACCAGAACACGCTGTTTTAATGTCACACTTACATGAGTTTGTTTGAGTTAACTGCTCGCTTGCTTTACATGTAGAGAACTTAGGGAATCAATTATATGTGTGCCTTACACATCCGCTGTATAGAGCCACATTCACTGTATTTCAATGGTCTACACATTATTCCAGAAAGAGAGCTCTTTCATTAATTGTCTAGAACAGTGGATTTCAAACTCAGGTCCGAGGACCAATGGGGTTCCTTGAGTGGGGGTCACCAATAAATGCAGGAATAGATGATTTGAACTTTTGTCAGATTTTTTGGAAGTTGGAACAACACGATTTTTATTGAGTGTAATTTATAGTGTTCCCGGTTTGATTATTGATTGAGTATGAAGAATTTATAATACTTTATATACCCAAACACTGGTTCTCAAACTATGGTACGTGAGCTGCGTCTAGCGGTACGCAGAGGAATCACAGAAATATTTTTTTTAAAAATGAAATAAATTAATAAAAATATAGATTAGAATAGAAACAGAGATATCATAATACTACAGAATTTCTAATCAAAAGACTTAAACTATCAAAATCAGCCAGCTACGGAGTCATGTTTATGCATGTAGCACATGCAAACATCCATGGTTATGAGCTTAAATGTGATGGTAACTATTGAAAAACTATAGAGGGAACTTTTGGGAACAAGTGTGGAACAGGAGTACTCCTTTTTCATCAGAT